ACCAGTTGATCTTGTTTGCTATATCCAGTGCCAAGATCAACCATAATGTGCTTGTTCCTAAAGAAGATCATGACAGTCACGGATCATACAGTTCGTACATTGTATTAAAATCAAGTACTTCTGTTATGTCAACAAGATATATGTCAGCAAAGTTCTTTATCGTCTCAGCAACTGATGCCAGTACTTCATCCATCTAAAAACAAAAAAAAATTAACCATCAATCAACACATTCCATAACACTTCATGAAGGAAAAGCAACTCAAATAGAACAAATTAAATCCAGAAGAATCAGAACAGACAGGAGTTATACATAAAAAAGGCAAATGCTTGACATCTTCCATACAATCTATAAATTTCAAGTACCAACAGAATAGCATAACTGCTATAAATATAGAAATGCAACTACCACCTATGTCCATGTGTTGCATGCATGTGAATGCCAAAACATTTTTGAGACTACAGACAGTAACCACTAGTATTCTTTCAAATATGACCCAAAGTGAGAGACATTCCTGGACATATATGTGTAGTATACATGTGTGAACATGCCCCTCTTCAACCTTGATACAAAATCAGAATCCAGATAGCTCCCAAGTGAATATGGCATCCACAGAGAGAATCATTTAGCACAAGTTATGGACCTTAGACTTTGTCCATAAACTCAACTTTCTCAAGTGAACTAGTAAACCAAACTTAGATATGACAAGTTTACAGATTCGATAAAATATTTGAACTCCACCCAATAGAAAACTACATTATCTGCTGTCTGTCTGTCCGTCTGTCCACAGACACACGATAAAATTACTATTAGATTGTGAATTTGGAATTTATCATTTGCGATCAAAAACACTGTACACTTTCAATGTCTCAAAGTGGAAACTCTACTTCTAATTTGCACCTTCTTGAGACCTAAATCTTTTCTGTCTTAAATCAGGACTTTCTAATCACTATTACCATAAAAGCTTCCACAAAATAAGTTCACACACACAAAGCATATGTAGGGAGTACACGGCGACAAAAATACCCTTAATGTACAAATTAAGTGCTTTATTGCTTTAGGTTCAATTTCATTTCTATTCTCTCTCCCTCTCATCCACATTTCTTGGGAACAACAGCAAAGATTGAAGGAAAACAGAAAAACAGAAAAGAACACCATTCCTCACTACCGTATAAGGATCTCTAAGAGACACTCATCTAGATTCTATATGAATTAATAAATGGTAGCTGGTTTTGCAAAGGATGATTTGAGGAAAAATATATGGGACAGGACAAACCTGTATATATAGATTGAGTCATAACTTGAAATGTCAGTGGATAATAAAAATTACATAATAATAAAACTTCCACTTATATTGCTAAAATAAGCAGACCCTTAGTTGATGCATAAAGATTTCACTTTCCTCGAGATTCTTTTTCTCAGCTGTTTTTAGTCCATCGAAGCAGAGTAGTGGACTCCCTCAGATAGGCATTACAAATTAGGTACCTCAAAAATAAAAGATGCCATCATCTTACCTAGAAGAAACCATTTATTGAATTTTCTTAGACCTAAAATTTAAAATTTATTGAATTCTCGTAGTAAACAATAATGAATATTCGTTCTTCCCCTTTCCAGTTTCCATCTTTCACCATCCAAAATTTCTCTTTCCCCCCTGCCCTGCCCTGCCCTCTTCTCTTTGACTCTCTCTTCTCTCTTTCACCCTTTTTCATTCTCTATCTGACCCACTCCTTTGCCCCACGCAGATGTCATGCACAAAAATCAAAATTACTTCTTGCGACGAAGCATGGAATACCGAGAAAAAGTGAGCATGGCTATGGCATAGCTTCCTTTCAATTTATGGCGACGGAATAGACTACAGCGTGGGGGGATTTATATGTATATTCCTTTTGACAAAGATATTGACGGAAATCAGGCAAAGACGGACTAGGAAGAAAGAAAAAACGCGGAAGAGGTGTAAACTTCTAAAGGAAAATCGAAACGCAGCAATAGGAACAATTTATCAGTTTATTAATCCTTGAAAGAAGAACTATTTAGGCAATCAAAAGAAATTGAACGGTTAAAATAAAGGGTTGAAATCTCCAGTTCCTTGAATTAAACGTTGTCCTATAAGTTGCGTTCTGAATAAAAAAGAATGCCATGTGGAAAAGAAGCAAACATCAGAGCCCAATAATCTTATTTTCTTTAGGGAGAATTTAAATAATCAAGCGTTTATCTGTTTCAAATCGTTCAAAAGAAAAGGATCAATATAGATACCTGCATGCATGTCTCGTCCCAATCATGGCCGAAACGAATGATGACTACCCGTTCTTCCTCGGCGAGGATGGCCTGATCGACGGCCCAGCCTGAATGCAAATGCGGTAGTAGGTACGACATTGTTTCACCACCTCCATCTTCTTCTTGCTTTGTTGAATTCCAATCCTCTCTCCCGTGGATTCAATGGCGAAAATTGGCGTGTGGTTGGAGAGATTTAGTAGGAAGGTAAGATGAGAGAGTTCGGTCAATGATCTAGAAGAAGCTGGACAGTTAACTGCACCAACCAAAAAATTTTGATTTTTATTTATATATTTTAATTAAATTCATAATATTTTATCTGTAAAAAAAAAATATTATCCATTAAATATATGTGAAATAATTAAAGATTTCGATTGTATCAAATTAAATTGATAATTTAATATGTCTTAATTAATAATAAGGTTAAGGGAAATTATTTTAAAACATTATATTATGTAACAATCTTTATTAATTTCCAGGTATACTTTACATAAATGTTTATTAAAAGAATAATTAGTACTAAAACAATAAAATTATTTTAAATGACGTCTATTTAAATCTAACATTTACTATTCATTCATTTAACATGTAAAATGTAAAACAATATTTCTGTTATTTCAATTAGTAATTTTATTTTAATTTACTTTATAGAATAAAAAATAGAAATTTAACAATATGAATATATATTGAGATAAAAATATTAAAACATATTTTTAAAAAAGTAAAATAAATAGATATTTTGCAGAAATATCTATGGTCGGCCCCCAAAAGTCTGTGTTTTATCTTCGTTTTTTTTTTCTGAAAAAATCAAACGATTGAAGGCTGAGAAAATGTCTGCAGCAACATGTCTTCCTCTCTACACTCCTACGCCTTCCTTCTTCATATCCCAAAGCTCTAAACCTAAAGCCTTCAGCTTTTCCAAAGCTTCCAAGAATTCTACCATAATATGCAAGGCTTCTTCTTCTTCTTCTTCATGGATAACTGATTTGGATTTATATGATCTTCTGGGTTTAGACAGCTCTTCCGATCAGTCACAGATTAAATCAGCTTACCGGAAGTTGCAGAAACGGTGTCACCCTGATATCGCCGGTGCTGCAGGACACGACATGGCTATTATACTTAACCAAGCTTATTCTGTTTTATCTGATCCTAATTCACGACTCGCTTATGACAAGGTCATCTTTCTGCTTCTTGTTTGGCTTATTATGCTCAAACCCACAATTTTTTCTTCAAGTTATGACAGTATGTGTATATATATATATATATATATATGTATGTATCATTTTAGATGAAGTTATGTGATGATAGAAATGAAAATGCAGGAGCAAGAAAAGATGGCGGAGCTGAAAGGGTACACAGGGAAACCCACATACTCAGTGTGGATGGGATCAGAAATTGAAGAACGAGCAGTATTTGTTGATGAAGTGAAGTGTGTTGGTTGCTTAAAATGCGCCCTGTTTGCCGAAAAGACATTCGCCATTGAATCTGTTTATGGAAGAGCTCGAGTGGTTGCTCAATGGGCTGATCCCGAAAACAAAATCATCCAGGCCATTGAAGCTTGTCCAGTTGACTGCATTTCGTAAGAATTAATTATATAATCCTCCCATCACTATTTGTTTCTTTCACTAAACCCACCTGATTATGATCATATAGTAACTTTCTATATATCCGTTTGCTTCCTAAAGTATTTTTGAAACGCAAAAATTAAAACAAAAAACTACCCCAAATGGCGCTAGATTTCAACTGAAACTAATGACAAATGTGAGCTAATTAGACTAGAAGAAGCTAGGAATTAAGAAATGGAACTTGATAGCTTATTTCTTGTGATGTCTGTAATGGAAAATTAGGATGGTGGAGAAATCAGACCTAGCAGCTCTTGAGTTCCTGATGTCTAAGCAACCGCGAGGCAATGTTCGAGTTGGTGCAGGAAATTCAGCAGGTACCCGGGTCTCAAACATATTTGTAGATGTCAAGAAATTCCAGACAAGATTTACAGATGCCAAAAAGAAAGCTGATCATAACCAAAGTTGTACAGTAAGTTAGTTCATAATGAATTAATATGAGTTATATAATCATGTATATATTTATACATGTCATGAAGTAAGCTAAGTTGAATGCAGGAGATTGATCTGGAAAGAGAATCAAGAATTTCAGCAGTTCAGGCTATCAGATCATTTTCAAATTGGTTATATTGGCAATATTCACCCACACCCACATCAAATTCACTACAAAAGTTGAAATTTGTTGAGCTGAAATCACCAGAACCAGATCATCTTAGTAAGCTCCGTGATGTCGCTGCTGCAAGAAAAAAAGCAAGACAAAATAATCCAACACCATCAGCTTACATTTACCATGGAGAGTATTGGATTCCACCAATGCAAGTACTTCCATCTTCTTCAACCCAGAAGAGTTATCAATCTGGAGCTGCTGTCTCAGAGCCAATTATGACTTTGCCTGCTAATAAAAGAATGAACACATATGATGAAGGTAGTAATGTGAGAAAAGAATATAGCAGAAGGAACCCAATGATGCGGGGAATTCCTATATGTATGGCAGTGGTTGCAGCAGTTGCGGTTAGGTTACAAGTCAGGGATGGAGCAGTCGGTGAATTGAAGGAACATGTAGCCGGATCATTAGCGCTCTCCGTGATTAACAGTTATTGGTTGCAGGTTGCATTAGCGGGTGTGATTTGGTATTTTATGGGAGTAGCAATGGTAGAACTGGGTGAGGCCATAAGAAATAACAAGTAAAGAACTGTATATCGTATAACAGAATAAGATATTAGAGGGAAAATAATTAGTTTCTGGTGATGAAAACTAAAAAGAAATTATAGGAAAACAACATTGTGAAAGGTTAGAAAAAGTTCAGAAAATAAATAATATTATTATATATATTTTTTTAATTTGTATGTCGAAGACAACAGTTTGCAGACATGTATTTGGGACAATAATATCTTACATAGCGTGGGTTGTGGCTGGTGCATGAGACCCTACATTATATACCGTCAGTTAAAATTGGAATAAATTTTATTAATATTAATATTAAAAATTAATAATAACTAATTTATAATAATTAATTAAAAAATTAATTTCTTATTATATTAATAAAATTAATAATTAAATTAAACTTTATCTATTGAAATTGGATGTAGAAGTTTTGAAATGATAGTAAGACCAAAACCAAACTGACTTCACAAACATAATTCATTTGTTCCAATCATACCATAAGCTTGACATATACTTTACCTCCTCTCTCAGTACATTGATCTTATTGAAAGCTTTACCTTTTTTGTCTGTACCAGGTACATTGATCTTAAGACCGAGACACTTGCAATCTATGAGCGTCTGATAAGTTTCTTACAGCATTTCCAAATTATGTTCTTACCGTTTTCAGTTAACCACAACTTGTATAATACTTAGTAGCGGTACTTGGTTGAATAGTCTTTGGGAGCAATCACCAGACCACGACCCTTTCTAGCCCCACGATAAACAGTCTCAACAATGTCGATGAACTCTTGCTTGTCCTTCAAAGCCCAGTTGATCTTGTTGTTGTTTCCAGTACCAAGATCAATCATAATGTGCTTGTTCCTAAAGAAGAACATGACAGTCGATGGATCATACAGTTCGTACATGGTATTAAAATCAGGTACTTCTGTTATGTCAACAAGATATATGACAGCAAAGTTCTTTAGCGTCTCAGCAACTGATGCCAATACTTCATCCATCTAAAAACCAAAAACAAATTAACCATCATTTAACATTTGCCATAACAATTCATGTGAAAGAAAAGCTCAAATAGAAAATTAAAATCCACAAGAATTAGAACAGACAGAGAGTTGCATCACCAAGGCAAATGCTTGACATCTTCCATACAATCTATAAATTTCTAGTTCCAATCGAATAGCATAACCAGGAATCACTGTGGAAATGTACGCCTAAACATTTTCATGATGACAAACAGGAAACACTATATATGTGTAGTCTGCATGTGTGAACCATTCCCAACTCAACCTTCATTTCAGACTCCAGATAGCTCCCAAGTGAATATAGCATCCACAGAGAAAATAATTTAGCAAAAATTACGGACATCAAACTTTGTCAAAAATCAAACTTTTCAAGTGAACTAGTTAAAGAACCTGGATATGACAAAGTTTACAGGTTCTATAAAATATTTCAACTCCAGCCAATCACAAAACCACGTAATCTACAGTTTGTTTGTCCATTTACTTATGATAAAGTTATTATTAGATTGTAATTTTGAAATTTATTATTTACCAACTTCCATATTACGAAATATACCTTTTATTTCTAATGTCTCAAAGTGGGATCTCTACTTCTACTTTCACCTCTTTGAGACTTAGATCAGGACTTTCCAGTCACTATTACCATAAGAGCTTTTGGAAAATAAGTCCAAAAGCACAAAGCATAAGTGGATAATACATAAAGACAAAAATAACCTTGATGTACAAGTTAAAAAATAAACAAAACTGTGCTTTGTTGCTTCAAGTTTAATTTCATCTCTGTGCCCTTGCTAGAAAACAACAGCGAAGATTCAGGGGAAAAAACACCAAAGAGCAGCATCCCTCCCCTACCATCTAAGGATCTCTAGGAGACACTCATCTAGATTCCAGAAGAACTTAACAGAAAGTTGCTTGTTTTGTGAAGGATGATTTGTGCAAAGATACAAGGGATTTGCACAAGACAAACCCGTATATATATTTAATCATCATTTGAAATTTTCAAGGAAGAATGAACTTACATAATCATCAAACTTCCACCTAATATTGCTAAAATAAGGAAGCCCCCTTCATGATGCACAAAGTTCCATTTTCAAAGGAAGATTCTTACTATCCTAACTGTTTCTATTCCATCCAAACAGAGCAGTAGATCTCCTCAGTCAGGTATTACAAGAATAGGTAGCTCATAATAAAAAAAAAACCATCACATTAACTAGAAAAACCATTTAGTGCCCACAAACTTCTTCCTAAAAGTCAGATTTGTATAAAAAAATAAGGTCTTAAACTTGTAACTCAAAAACTAACGCAATCAAATTGAGTACAAATGTAACATTAGCTAACACCAATCAGAAAAGAAAAAAAAAAAGAAGGAAAAGAACACAGAAACATGCTAGAACTGTAACTGAAAAGAGAAGTCATCCTTGAACGTCAAGCAAGAAGGAAAGCCCAAAATTTCTCATGCTTCAATCCAGAAACAACATAAAAACAAAAAAAAGAAAGAAGAACATGTGTTTCTTCTTTTTTATTTAGTCCCCATTAACTTTTACATTAAATATATCTTGTGATCAATTTCGAGATGAATAGTACAGAGTAAATGAGAGAGATTAATTCACTTTCTAAAAGAGATGAAATTATCAATTAAGACATGAAACAAGGGGATAATATATGTTGGAATGAGGTAATAAAGGAGAGAATATGAGAGAAGGGGCATCAGGTGTACCTGCATGCAGGTCTCATCCCAATCATGGCCAAACCGAATGACGACGAGACGCTCTTCCTCAGCCAGGATGGCCTGATCTACAGCCCATCCAGAGTGCAGATGAGGTAGCAAGTATGACATCTCTAATCTCCTCCCTTTCTCTCTGACTAGAAAAACTTTATCGGCTCACTCTCCTCCAAATTGCCACTTCTCTTTCCTAGTTAACTAGTTAATGGCCTGTCTGTTGCTGCAGACTAAGAAATCGAAGATAATGCAGAAAAAATTGTAATGAAAATGGGAAAAACCAATAGAAAATTATATACGAAACAAAATATAAAGTAAAATGAAGTTCAGTACAAAAAATTGTTTTTCAGCCAGAATAAGGTTATTAAAGTTGCTTATTACATCTAGTTTTATACAAAGTAGATCGTGCAATCGTGCTTTGATTACCTGCAAAGGAAAAAAAAATCAGTTTAATTGACAAATCTGAATATTCATAGTTAGTATTGGAAAGTAGCATAAAAAATAATAATCATTACTTTACTTCAAATTGTCCTTTCATGAAAAGAGTCTATTAATTTGATTCGATTCAATTCCTGTACATATTCGCCAAAAACAAGCTGCAGCTTCTTTTACGAATTCGGCTCTAAATAAGAATAATTTCAAGACATAAAGCTCTACAGCTTACTAAGATAAGAAATCAAAATAAATAACACTGAAACAATTAACTAGATTAAAATGATAATAAAAACAAAAAATTGTGTAATTGGTTATATTTTGTAAAATTATTAATGACCCAAAGTTACCAAAAAATTTGCCACTCCAAAAACTATCCTATCCCAAAAGTAGAAAATAAATATTATCAGACATGAAAAGTAACATTCAAATAATGGACATAATATATTATACATACGAGAAAAGGTAGGAACAAGAAATTATGTCTTAAAGGAACATTATATACAATAGATATGAGAAAAGGTAGCAACAAAAGTTATGTCTTAAAGGAAAAGGGATTGTTGTTCATTATGCAATGCATCACAGCATCTAACACTTTCTAACAGTGAAATCAAGAGATAAAGAATAATTATTTATGCATTTAAGAATAAGAACTCCTTTTGACATTTATCAGTTGCTGCCAAAATACAATATTTCTGTACTCATATTATGTGTCACTAACAAACCTAAGCAAACCAAACAGAAGAACACCATGCATAAGACCTCTTTTAGAGACATACATTAGCCAAAAACCAATCAACCAACATATAAACAAAAACAAAACATGTTAATATTTTCTAAGACGACATGAAAGGTAGAATAAAATCAAGTTAGGAAAGATAAACAGATGAAGCATGTAACAACCACACTTTTTATTTAAAACATACTAATTTAGCATGCCAAACAAATTCAATAGGAATTGCCACTAACCCTATGTTAAGGTGGAGTTATAACACCATAAGAGGCAAGAAAAACTAATCTAACAAGTAAGCAAAATCAAACACAAGGAGAGGAGGTGTCAGACGTAAACCCTGTTGTCCAAATATATGTTGGGGCTTAAAGACATATGTAAGTGCAACAAGTGCTATGGGCGCATGTGACATCCATTGCAAAAAATTAAAATAGCTTTATGGCACTACTATGACCCATTGAACCCTGGCCCACAGTAATGAATAAAATACAGCCTTTAAATGGGATGGGTGGAGAAACTATATATTGCAAAATAAAATAAACAGTATTGTAACTAAGATAAAAAAAGAGAAAAGAATAGAACTAAATATAAAACCTGCAAATTATTGTTAGCTTCCTCCAATATGACATAATGAAACAATAAATAAATGAATTAAGAATATGTCAACACCAAAAACAGAGAAGAAGAGTGAAAAAACAACATACAAGGTAAAGCAAATTCAAATTATGCATTATATACATGCATAGTAAATACCGAATGAAGGGAAAGATGGACAATTACTATATTTGGAACGTTTAAGGTCTTGGTATATAAAGATTAACTAACATAAACCTATGGGAAGTTCGATTTGCTTGCTTGCTAACGCAAAAGACGTAATTGCTTCACTGAAATTAATATGCAATTGACATATGAAGCACACAACAATAATCACAAGAAAAAACATGAAATTCAATTCTTATAAACAAGATGTTAAATTAAAGAAAATCACCCATACAGCATATTGATCTCAAATATTACACAAGTTGGACTAATCCCTATGAATTAGGGCTAGTTCAACACTCACACGTAGAACCCAAGTAAACTGCCCTGAAATCAATGAGCCAATGGATCCCCTACAAAAATATGCAAAGGGTATGAAAACATTATGGATGATCCTAAGCCTCCAAGATTCATCAATTAAGCTCATGCCTAATATGGTGCATACACACTGCTATGAATGCCTATCTCATACTACCAAAACCTCTTCAACACAAGTCAGAGAGAAATAATCTAGGATAATTTTAGCATTTATTCAACATACAAAAGTTCTCAATTATCTCTCACACATGAAGGCAAAAGGCAGACATGGATAACTAACAGAATGCTACAGAAATTTATTAGAACTGCATATTTTTAACAAAAGACTTCAGAACCAATATTTAAAGGTGCAAGCCTCAAATAAGAAGGTATTCAATCCGTTATCCACGGAACAGATTCATAATGAACGATTGAACATAACACAAAGCTGTAAAACCCAAGAATACACAAATAAAGACCATAACTTGCTCAGTTTTCAAGAAATTGTGAAAACACCATAGTAGTGTCATCTATG